CCCGCCGCCGCTGCCGCCACCGCCGCGGCCGGCCGGCCTGGGGAGGAACTCGCATCAGCGGCGCTGCCTCCGCTGCCAGAGGCGTCCGAGGCGGCAGAGGCTGCGCAGGGGGCCTCGCCCGACGCGCCCCAGGAGCTTGCCGCCGCCGCCGCCGCCGCCGCCGCAGACCCCCCCGCGCCCCCCCAGCCACTGGCCCCGCAGCCGAGCGCGGGGCCGGCGCCCGAGGCGGGGCCTATGGAGGCTGAGCTGGAGGGCGGGGAGGGGCCGCGCGACGAGGCGGCGGCGCCGGCGCCGATGGACGTCTGAGCGGCCGGCGTGCGTCAGCACCGCGGCCCACTCATGGGGGCGCCTCAAAAGGGGAAGGGGCAACGGTCCCGCAGCCTACACTGCCATTCGCGCGGGGCCACCCGCCGCGCACGCCGCGGCCGACACTGCTGAAGACCCTCTCACGCATCAGCAATAATTGGAAAAGGGCTGTGCTCACACATTGCAGCGCGCCCGGCCTCACCTTGCCTCCCACACATACCTGCCTTTCAGCTGCGCAGCGCAGGCTGGGCGCCCGGCCCGCACTGCCATCGCTGCGACCTGCACGCGCGCGTGCGGTCGCCAAAACATTGATCCGCAAAAACCCCACTCGCATCCGGATGGTGACATTGATGATGTCATGATGACAGCAGCACAGGTACAGGTGACGTGAACAGCAACCCTCAAAATACGCAGGTCTAGACACGCTGAAAAACATCGCTTCTTGAGCATTGCACGCGCAGCCCCTGCCGCACCCTTGCTTGCAAGGGCCCACGGTGCACAGGCGTCCAGCGCCGACGGCCCCTCGGGCCTCAGGCGCGCGCGCACACGGCCAGGCGGCGGGCCGATCGGCAGTAGCGGCTGCTGATGACGCACCAACTCGCGCCCAACGGACCGCCTGGCACGCCACTGCAGAGTGGCTGTGCGCGAATTAGTCTTGGAAGCACAACGGCCATTGCGCCTCGGCATCCCTCGTCTAGTTTGACCGGCATTAAGTAATCTCGGGGCCGTGGGCTGGCGGCCCCCTCAGCATCCCAGGGTTTGGGGTTCAGCTCGGGGTCTTGCTGATGGGTTTAGTAATCCAGGGTTTGGGCCATACAGCGTCAGCAAGTGAGCGCAACCGAGCAGCCCGTGCGAACCCCTTGCGTCGTACGGCCGCCGCGGTCCATCGCGCAATTAGCTGCGCGCAAGCTCGCTGCCCAAAAAGTGCAACCCCTCTGCTGCTTCGAATCCTGCTGCTGCGCGCCCGCATGACAGCTCGCCTCAAGGATTCATGACTAGGAATTGTGCAGCAGCCACGCACGTGTACACCGGTTGTTCAGGGCCGCAGCGATGGACGGTTCCCAGAACTTACAGAGGGTGTTCAAAATAGGGAGGAAACTGGTGTGGTGTCGTGCATCACATACATCGCAAAAGAAGTGAGTCATTGCAGCAAGCGTGACGGTCGGGGGAAGCACAGAGATGCTGCTGCACTATTGTTGAACCACAACGAGGTTTGTGGGCGCCGGCTGCCTGGTCTGCTGTGTGTGTGCAATCGCACGTTTGGTCTGTCCGTCAAGAAAGCTGAAAAGGAACTGGGAGGAGTTGAGACGCCGTGCCAGCGGTCGCGTCAGCACTGCTTGCCTGCAAACCATCAGGGGGTGGCCCAGGGCGTGTTTGCCCGCGCTGGGGGGCTGTGTAGTCGTGCAACGGCTGTTCGTTTGGGGGGCGCCCGCCCTGCCGCTTTCCAGGGTGCGGGCAGGTTCGGGTCGCTTGTGGCAACACCAATGGGGTTGCGGAAGGGCTGAGGCCAAGGGAGGCCCCGAGGAGATGCAAGCGCACGCGGCTGCGCGTGCGCTCAGCCCCTTGAGAGGGGCCGACAATTGTGTCCTGCAGGGGCGCAGCCTGAAGGGAAGAGGTAGGGAAGAGGGTACGACAGGCGGCCGCCGCAGGCCGCGGCCGCACGCTGCGCCCAGTGGGCACACGTCACAGAAATGGCGCGGGCGGCGCCGAATGGGAGGCCAAGAGCCGAGGCCGCAAGAGCTGAAAATTGAGGTTGGCAAACGCGTCAGAGACCAGCACCCAGGGCGAGACTTTCATGGGCTGCACGGCACACCAACCACGGTTCTCGAGGCTCAGGAATCCCAAACTTCGCCGCTCAGGCGGCGTCAGCGCGGCGAGGCAGCCGGGTGGGCCCTACCCTTCAGCGGCTGTTGCTTCTGGGGGGGGGCGCGTGAACAGCGCGGGGGTTGGCGCACCGCCACATCCCCGAAGAATCCACCACTAAAGGAACCCTCGACGTGGGCGCAAACCCGTGAAACCTTTCGCAAGCACATCCGTGCGCACGACGCCGTGGGCAGCCATCCATAGAGCCTGACGGCCACGGCCGCGACGCCCCGCAGTGCGGGCGCGACCCCCAGGCGCAGGGCTCAGCGCTGCATGGCAGCTGGCTGGTAGCTGCTGCTCCTGAGGATGGGGTTGACCTGGAAGAGCGGCGCCCCCGGGGCAAACGGCAGCTGCACGGGCTGACCGCAGTGGTCCATCATCGTCATGCTGCGCACGCAGCTGCCCAGCGCCTCCGCCGCCTGCTGGCCCCCCACCCGGCCGTGCGCGAGGTCGCCGGCCGCCGCCGCCGCCATCTGCTGCTGCTGCTGCTGCAGTAGCAGTAGCTGCTGCGCGGCGCAGCTGGCGGAGGTCGCCTGGACCTGGTAGCTGGAGACAGCCACCGCGCCGTGCTGCTGCTGCTGCTGTTGCTGCTGCAGCTGGTGCAGCTGCTGCTGCTGCTGGGCCGCTGCCGCCGCCGCTGCCGCTGCCGCCGCCGCCGCCGCCGCGTTGGCGGGCAGCAGGTGCGAGTACTTGGCTGCCTCTGCCTGGAACTCAAACGCGCGCTCGCGCGGCAGCGACGTGGCCGCCATGATTGGCCGCCCAGACGTCGCCACGGCCTGCCTGACGCCGCCGGCGCCCGCAACACCGGGCTCCCTGCCATCGCCGGCCGCGTGGGCCGGCTGCTGCTGCTGCTGCTGCTGCTGTTGCTGCTGAACCTGCTGCTGCTGCCCCTGCTGCTGCTGGTGGTGCTGCCCCTCGAGGTACATGAACTGGCGCTTGAAGTTGTCAACGGCAGACGGGTAGACAAAGGAGGGCAGGCGACCGCCAGTCATGTAGTCCTGCAGCACCTGGGTTTTCAAGGGTGGGGTTTTGCGCGGGGCACATATTTCAGGCCAAAAACATCAATCGACAGGTAACTCCAGGGAGCAAGTGATGAGAGCACGCCCATGCATGATCTGCAGCCAAGCCGTTGTGCGCTGACTCTTGCTGTGGGGGGGCGCATTGCCGCCAACAGGTGCAGATGCCGATGCGTGCAAAAGAGGGGCGAGCGTGCCCCTTTGTCATCTGGATTAGCCCCCTGCCCTGTTTGACCTCGTTGGAAATCCCCACGCATCCTTCAATTGACGCGCGCCATCGACGCCGACGCTGAACACGCTCGACTTCGCAGATACCCCGACAGGATCCGCACCCAAAGCCCAATGCTGGGAGCTGCCAAAGCAAAGCACCTCTAAAGCAAAGCCATCAGCACCGCGTCGGCGCCCTAAACCCTGCCGCCCTCACCTGCGGGTGGTACTCAAGGATCTCCCTGTAGATCAGCTCCCGCACCTCGTCAATCGCCAGCTTGCGCCGTTCGAATTCGAACGCCAGCTTGCTGATGGCCGCGGCGCTGGGCTCGCGCGCCGGCGAGTGCAGGTTTGAAAAGTAGGGGTCCGCCAGGGCCTCCTCTGAAGGGGGGGTTTCACAGGTTGATTTGGGGGGAGGGGGGTTTGGGAATGTGAGATGGAGGCGTGTTTGGCAGTGGGCTCAAGGGCTTTGAGGGGTTTAATGGAGGTCAGCGAGCGGGTCGGTGCCGAAGAACATGCAAGGACGTGTGTGCAGGGGCAAGCGGAGCAGGAGGGGTCCCGGTGGGGCCCGCGGCGGCAGGACACGGAACGAGGTGGGTGGCGTCGCCCGGGCGGGGAGCCGGACTCATTTCATCCCCCGCCCAGTGCCCCGCGCGTGCGCGTGCGTGAGCCCACCCGCGCTGGGCCTGTCCGCAGGGTCGAAGGCCAGCAGGCGCCTCAGCAGGGCGCGCGCCCTGGGGTCGGCGCGGGGGAAGCGCTCCTCAAAGGGCACGCCGGCCTTCTTGCGCATGTTGACCAGAAAGTGCCGCGCCTTCTCATTCCGGACCTGCCCGGGCCGCGGGAACGTTCGGATCAGGGGTCAGGGCTTGGAAAAGGCGGCGGCGCCCGCGCAGGGGGGGTTTCGCCGGGCTTGGCAGGGTCCAAGAGGTTGGGTCGCGGCGGCTTGGGATAGACGGTCAAGCGCGTGGTTAAATTCGGTGGGCTCTGCGATTGGACATGCGCACCCTCTTCCCCCCAAACACACATCAGCGTGCATGTCCACAGACAAACCTTGGCTATTATTTCGGGGGAGGGAGTGCCCAGGAGGTCGGTGATGAGCTCCAGCTGGTGCACCACGTTGCGCCCCGGGAACAGCGGCTTGCCCGTCAGCACCTACGCGGCACATAAATAGACAGACAGAGACGCACCCAGCCGCCCCTGCATGTCAGCCGGCCCGGCAAAAGAGAGCACTGCTGCCAGTAAACGCTCGCCCACCACGCCCGAGCAGCGGCGGACGGTGGCGGGCCTCGCCGGTGGTTTCCTCCACGCACGCAGGGCAATCCCAGCAGAAGCAGGGCTTCAGGCACAGCTGGTGCAGTGGTGCTGCGTGGGCATTGATTCAGGAGGGGCCCGGCCCCGTCCCCAGGGGTCAAGCAAACGCCACTGCGCGCCCCAGCGGTCTGGTGTGCCGTTTCCAGTGATTCAGGCCGGGCCGCACCTCTGCGAAGATGCAGCCGATGGACCAGGTGTCTATTGATGGGGAGTACTTGGCAAAGAAGCTGCCGCACAGCTCAGGCGCCCTTTGGGTGGGGGGAGGGGTTTGCAGGGCAGGGGTCAGGGGTGCTGGTGGCGGCCTCAGAGTGGGCCCCATCTCGCGGCAGAGGGCACCTGGTGGAGGCTGCCGCCCGCGCCCCGTCGGCGGGCGGCCATGCTTCCGCCTTTCGCGACTATTTCGCCGCCCGCACTCAAGATGGATTGTGGCTTGATCGCAAACAGCCGTCCAGCAGTTGTCATTCGGCGGCAGCAAAGGGACCAGGGGTCGGTGCTCTCACCTGTACCATCGTGTTGCGACGTAGTCGGTCCAGAACACGGTGGTGGGCATGTCGTTGAACGCGGGGCGCGCGAGGCCAAAGTCGCAGATCTTGAGCTTGCAGTCGCTGTTGGCCAGGATGTTCTTGGGCTTGAGGTCCCGGTGGAACACCTTGGCTGCGGTTGGGGGTTGGTTGGGGGTGGTTAGGGTTCGGTGGGGCGTGTTGAACTGTGTTATCTGGGGGATCAGCCGGCGCAAGGCTGGGGGAGGGATTAAAATGGGATCGGGGATCCAGCGGCAAAAGCCGTCGCGGGTGAGGGGGCCGGGACTGAAGAGGGCGGCGTCGAGCGGCGCCGCTGCCGCCACAAACGGCCGTCCGGGCGCACCCAGCAACGGCGATAGGGGAAGAACGCCGCCGCAACGGCCCGCCCCTGCACGGCCCCACGCGTGCATCCAGATGCTGCCCTTGCCCCGCAGCCGCCGCCGCCACCACCACGGGCCGCGGCAAACGTCCCGGGCAGCCGGCATCTCAAGACGCGGCGACGGCCGCCGCCCGGCCCCCACACCAGCGCGCGGCCGCACCAGAGTGGATGTACTTCAGGCCCCGCAGCATCTGGTATAAGAAGAACTGGTGGTGCTCCGGCGTCAGGTCGTCGTTGGCCTTGATGACCTGCGGCGGTCGGGGGCGGCCGGGGTGACAGTCGGTGATGTCAGCGGCGGCCACGGCCCCCTGGCAGCGGCCGCTGGCTCTGCCGCCGCGATTGCCAGCCGCCGCCGCTCCAGCTCGTCGCGCCCGCCCTGCCGGGCCTCTGCGCGCCGCGTCGCGC